GGAATTGTGGGGTTTGGGGGGGTTGTAAGGAGATAAAACACCCCCCTACCCTCATTTGTGAGCTCCGCCCCCCTCCCCAAAAAAATCGCCCCGCCAGGATCAGCGAGGTGGAGCCCAAGTATTACGCAGATGGAGAGGACGCCTACGCCATGAAAAGGGACCTCACCCAAATGGCAGACGAGGTACAGACCCCCCGAGACCCCCAAACCCTCCTGGGGGGGCTCCCCGGGACCCCCAAACCCCCCCCCCCAGACAGCCCGGGACCCCCAAACCTTCCCTGAACCCCCCAGGGCCTTTCCAGGCCTCTTTAACCCCCTCTGTGCCCCCTCCCCGCTGCCCAGCTGAGGAAGCAGGTGGAGCAGAAGGAGAGGGGCCGGCCCCTGGCCCCCGCCGAGCCCCCCCGGGGTGGGGATGGGGTCTGCGGCTCCGGGGGGACCCCCTCGCACCCCCCCACGGGGCCCCCCCACCACGAGGATGGGGGGGGCGACAGCAAAGACGTCAGCGAGGTCAGCGAGACCACCGAGAGCACCGACGTCAAGGACAGCTCCGAGGCCTCCGACTCCGCCTCATAGGGGGACCCCCGGGACCCCCCCCAAAAAAAATCCTTGGGACCCACCCCCCGGGGGCTCCCCAGACCACCGGGAGCCCCGGGGACCCCCCTGGTGCTCGTGGGGGGCAGTAAAGCCCCTCTGTCTCCAGCCTGTGCTGTGTCTGTGTGTGTGATCCTGGTCTGGGGGTGCTCGTGGATTTTTTTTGGGGGAAATCAAGGTGGGGGGATGTTCCATTCCATGTCACACCACGATCAGCAATCAACTGGGAGAAGCAGGGGGGTGGGGGGGGGGGGGGGGGGGGGGGGGGTCTCGCTTCGCCCCCTCCCCTCAGGGCAAAGCGGTGGGGGCGGGGCTTGGGTTGGCCACGCCCTCGCTGTGGCGCTGCTCCCGCGTGGGGGCGTGGCGTCCGCTGATTCCTCGCCCGCTGATTGGTTGGGGCGCACCGAGAGCCGCCCGCTGATTGGTGGAGACGCGCGGCTGTGGCGCCGCCATGCGGAGGGCGGGGAGGAGCAGCGGAGGCGCTGGGCCGGAACCGGGAACGGAACCGGGAACGGAACGGGGACCGGCCGTGTTGGTGCGTACGGGAGCGTCGGAGCGGACCCGGCCCGGGGAGGTTCGGGCTCCCGGGGTTGCTGGCGGAGCTCGGGGAGCCGCTGGAGCGGGAGCTGCTGGAGGAGCTGGGCCCGGTGGCGGCCGCGCTGCGGGTCCGGTTACGGCACCACCGCGGGGTGGGGGAGGTCACTGGGACTGGGGGGATGGAGACCCCGAGAACGGGCTGGAAATGAGGGAGGGGTCACTGGTACCGGGGATATGGAGACACCGGTACCGGGCTGGAAATGGGGGTGGTCACTGGTACCGGGGGGATGGAGACATCGGTACCGGGCTGGAAATGGGGAGGGGTCACTGGTACAGGGGAGATGGAGGCACTGGGAAGAGGCTGGAAATGAGGGAGGGGGTCACTGGTACCGGGCTGGAAATGAGGGCGTACCCCACCAGAACCGGTGGAGTTGATGGGGAGACTTTCACTGCAGGTTCTGGGAGATACCGGGAGCAAATTGAGGGGGGGGGTCGTGGAGCACCGGCAACGGGAGTGAGGTCGCGTGTACTGGGGGAACCGGAGGAGGAGGAGGGAGGGTTTGAGGCGGAGTCTTGCACTGGGAGGGGTTTTGGGGGGATCAGCAGCGGACTGGGGGGGTGTCTGAGGAGGGAACTGGTTCTTTTGGGTTGGGGGTGTCTGATGGCTCGATCTGGGGGCGCCTCCCCCTCTTTGTGGGGCTGGGGGGGCACTGGGGCACTTTGGGGGTCTCCTTCCCAGCCCAGGACCCCCCACCAACCAGGGGAGCCCCTCACCCCAAAACCAGGTGAGGAGGGGAATGACCCAGGGGAGTAAAATCACCCTGAAATCCTGCCCCCCATTCCCTTGGAGTTCAAGGGAGATCTCTGTGAATCTGTTAAAACTTCCTCTTTATTATAATATATTTTTAGATATAAAAAGAAAATTTTACAAGTTTTTAACCCAAAATGTACAAAAATGGAAATGGTTGTGTTTCTCCCCGTGTGTGTGGTGTGTGTGTGTG